ATGATTAGAATTTTCTGATTTGTTTCAACCATAATTTTTCTGTTATTGTATGGTTATATATATATATATATTTTTTTTTTTCCCCGTCTTTTGCAGATCGATAATCAACTGAACGAAGCTACCTTCCCAGTAGTTCTATATCCCAACTTGGAAAAGACTTTTGTGAATTATGCTGGAAGCCGTAGATTGAAGCATTGCTTAGAATTCTCATATCTGAAACAACGCAAATTAAGAAGCATTATTTACAAGTGTGTGCGCAATGCAAATGACATTATCGCTTTAACTGATACTTTTCATAATAATTTTCAAATGATATACTTTCAGAGGAATATGTGTCATCGTCAGGGAGTTTAATTTGAATATAGAAGAGGCCTTCCTCTGTTCTTTGATCAATTTAGTACCTAAGACACCGGAAACTAAACATTCGATTGCCGCGAAACTAAGGAGAGATGTGTCCAATATGCGCGTTTCTTCAATTCGCAATATTAGTAATGTAATATCTATTCTTGCACGTAATTTAAGTACATCGTAAATGTATGGACACCATTTAATTCATGTGTTTGAATTATAGAATACAAACAGCAAAAGAAAAGATTTAATAGAGCAGATATACATTTCCCCGATAGCATTACGCTTGAGATTATTGGCTAATACAGATGGAACTAACATGCGTAATTTCAACAACGTGCTTGGTTATCACAATGTTCTTCGATTTATTTTCGAGTATGCGGAGAAGGGTACGTTTAAGAGGGACGTTGAATTCAGGTAAGCGATTACAATTTGATGAAACTTGATAGAACTTGAAAGACGAACAATAGTAAGTTTCATAATTTTATTTAGATTGCCTGACTATCGAAAAAGTTTCATGACCGTGGATAACAAATGGTTCCTCTCCCATCTTTCACGTATCTATATGGCGCAGATTATGGAGCAGTTCCACGTGTTGGTCCGCTTAACTACTGTCCTGGGAAATCAGTATGGCTACAACTTTAAGTCGCCAGGGAGCAATTTCTGCGAGCCGGATTTGGTGAGCGATCAGAAATATGATATATGTCGCAAACGGATGGTACATCTTTCATTTTTATTAAAAATAACGTTAATTTGAGATGAATTTATAGCTATTAATGTGTGGGGACGAATCTGCGGAGAAATTGGCACATGAGGTCGCATGCGAGCTAGGATATGCTACGCCCGATGGTACACAAGCCTCATTTTTAAGCGGCCATGACGTTCACACGCTTCATTACAAGGTAAACGCTATAAAGGTGTGCAGTGGAACTAAAAATTAGTCGTTCCTTTCAGCTTTACAAAAAACTTGAATAGCTCATCTGTATCAGCTTTTAATCTTCGACATTAACTATCCGATGATTAAATCCTCGATTTCCGTAAGTCCAATAGAAATTGAATCATCATTATAAAAGAAAACTTCGATTTGACTTTTAGTATTTGCAGCTGAAAACAGTCATAAGTTCCTTTTTATGTAGTAATTAATTAAACTGTTAAAATAAGAAGTTGAAACAGCCATTACATTTCATTCTAGATGAAAGATACAAATTATCGAAATCCAGATGTTCCGCCTTTGGCATTTTTACTCGATCATTCATTCGCTACAGAAATTGATTTGGAGACTTCTGGCTTGATCACTACGTCGACGAATAGTGAGTAAATCATTGCTGGTCGTAATGTACGAGTGGATGTAAGTGGGATCACATATCGTGCCGCGCACATCTGTTGATTTGCTCATTGCTGTTTCATTTCCGGCTCGACGTTTTTATTAAATCTCTTGCAAATGATAGGCATTCATCGAGAAGAATTAAGATATTTCTTCAAAACATTGGGAAAGAAAACATCTGTGCTCTTCAAGGCGGAAAGTTCTTGTTTGAAAACTTATTCGAAAGTAATAGCAGATATAATAAAAAGGTATCAACGCTATCGGCATTATTTTCTCTTGTGCATTATCGGTATTTAGTTTAAAAACAAATTATTCATCTTACAGGGCGCAAGAGGTGGGCCTCGTATCCAGAATACGATTGCCGCGATATATTAATCCACATTTCGTGAGTATCAGGATGATAACTGTGACTTTCCATTCATCTTTTTTGTATTATTAACAATTAATATCTTGACTTAGGGCGTGGAGTCATTTTCGACGCATAAAGCGAAAGGAGCGTACTTATTAAACCTTGTAAGTAAAGGTCACTGCGTTCAGAACGATTCTTATTGGGGACACGCTACGCTTCACAGCGACGGAAAATACATTACGCTCATATCTTTGCAGTAAGTTTAACAATATTTAATATCATGTCCTTAATATCAGTGGCAAAAAAATCTTAAGAGTAAAATTATTGCCGTGTTAATTTCTTCTGAATCAGAATGTAAAACGAAATAAATCCTTGGATTTTTTTTTTAGACGAATATACTATATCGAGAAAGGAAATGCATGGGGATCATGGAATGTGAAATGGACTTTGGAAACTAATCAATTGCTGTCACCACCAACCATCACTAAGAATAAACTTGTTTTGCATATAGAGGTAACTATTCCGATTTATCTCGAAAATTGATTTGACACATCTAAATACGGAGAATTATTGCATTGCGCTAAAAATTCTCAAGTTGGTTTACTGCATTGAACAGATTCGAATTTTAGATTCAACATTAGGAGTTAAAGCAACCGAGCATTCTAGTGTTATTCAATTGGTCATTAAAGATAGTTACATTGAATTTTATTTCTAGAACGAGAAAGAGACATCGTCGTCTATGGTAGATTGGTATGTGGAGAGCGAGGCCGAGGACATCCTGAATTGGTTGTGTCGCAAAATGAACAATGCAATGATCCTGAACATGGAGAACAGCATTTGTTCCAAATGAGAATATTTGGAGTTGGTTAATGAGGCCACCGCAAGGAGGAAACAAAGAACAAAGAGGATGAAGAGATCAGTGTATTTACATATTTAGTTCGGCGTAATAAAAGTCTATACGGTGAATGCAAAAAAAAAAAGAAAACGCTATATATATATATATATCTCTTTCTAATGCCCTACACTTTTTTATTATTATTATTATTATCATCATCATCATTTATCTTGCCAAAGTCAGATCGCATCTTCGTCTTGGATAAAGTACGTCTAGTTTATTTCATAATTTATTTACAAAAAGTCTTAGTAAATTACACTTACAGGCATCTCCACTCGAACTAAAGTAAATAATTTAAGAACTACATGTATTTAGATATCTATAGAATAGGATACTTTGGGGTCGGGGAGAAGCTGGGACCAGGGAAAGTGTTCTGTTTAACTTATCTCAACACGCTTCTAAATCGTATGTCTTCGCAAGAATTCGAGTCGTTTTAAACGGCTACACGTCGTATGTGAAAACTAAATCGTCATTCCATCTCTCTTAAATTCATTCTTTCTACGAAACGAGGAAGTATACCAGTG